GGAGGTGCATGGGGATGCCAAGGGGCCCTGGAGGCAGAATGGCATGGCTGCATCCTTTCCCAGGCCTGCCAGGGGAATCAGAGAGAGGAGCTGCTTGGGTGTGGGCAGGGGCTGTCAGGCAGTGAGATGGATACCTCTGGGGAGAAATTCCTGGTCCTTGTATGTCAAGGTTGCTTAGGCTGCAAACCTCATGTTTAGAGTAGGCTGGCGTGACCCTTTGGGGTGATGGTGCTGCCTTTTATATGAAGCCCCTAATAGTTAGGTACCACTACTGGTTCATTCTTTGTGTCTGGAGACTGAAGCCCAGAGAGGTTACTAAATGTGGCTAGGCCACACAGCACATTAGGCCCCGTGTTTGAGCTCAGAACTTGCACTCTGAACCGCTAGGCTCTGCCGTTTTGCCGTTGTGAGCACATGTTACACTTTGTCCACCCTCCCATTTCCTTTCCTCCTTTAGTAAGTCGGTCACGTGGCTTCCCTGTCCCCACATGTGTTACATAGGAACCCTGTGCTCTTTTGCTGCTTGTGGGTTCAGCACCTTACCCTGGTGTAGGGCAAGAGTTCAGGGAGGGACTGGTGACGGGGCTGCCTGGCTGCAGGGTGGACCCCTCCGTTCTTTTAGCACTTGTAGGCTTAGAAGGTGGCCTTGTGGAGGTCAGATGGGACCTCATGCTTGGGCCTGCCCACACTGCCACTGAGTGCTAGCTCTCTTGCAGTGTGGAGTAGGACTCCCATGCCTGCTTTACAAGATGCTGAGCAGTGTTTAGCCTTTGAGGAGGTACCCCGTACCCCCACCCTCGAAGCAACAGGCCAGGGCAACCCTGGGGAAGCCAGCTGGGAGGGAGCAAGTGGTCTTCCTGGAGGAGTTGGCTCACCAGGGTAGGAGCTGGCCGAGTGGATGTGCTATGAGTTGGGTGATGGGCAGCATTTTCGGGACACTAAGACCCAGTGATGAAAGGGCGGGCCTTATTTGGGGAAGCAAAATCAGTCAAAACCGACAGGCACCAGGAAGACCCAAGAAGTTGTTTGAGAGAGTTTTGGGCTGGGGTAAGCGAAGTGGGGTGCGGTTCTTCATGTTCTGGCCAGGTACAGGCTCCCTGGAAGATTGTCCTCAGGGGAGGCCACAGTTTAGGGAGCAGGATGTGCTGGGACAAAGGCTCCATGTGTGAGTCTTTAGTGTTCAGCCTACAGCCCAGCTCTGGAAGGCTGGAGTTTGGGAAGACCAGAGGAGGGTACCCAGGCTTGAGGTAGCTGTGGGAAGGGCCTCTGAGTCCATGGGTGGGTGTGGCTCTGAAAGTCAGGCTGTGGTTGAAGGGACACAGAGGTTGCTTTCCCTGAAGGCTAGTTCTTCAGGCTCTCAGGCCTGCCCCTCCCCCATTATGAACAGGTCCTGTTGGCCTTATAGGGTTCTCAGGAAGCCTGGGAAGAGTCTTTCAGGACCTTGGGCTAGAGAGGCCTACAGCTGTTGCTCACTGTGTGGGCTGTTGGGGCTTCTGAGGTGGGTAGTAGCCTCAGGGTTGCTGTTGAGGGACCGAGACCTTGCTGGATTCCTTATGAGGTCTACTGGGTTCTGGTGGGGCAGGCAGACTTCTACCTGTTAGTCCTTTGCTTGGAAAAGCAGGATGGCTCGGGAACCCTGGAGTGACCAGGCCAGGAGAGGGTGAGGAAATGCCTGCTCTGTGGAGCTGTGAGGAAGGAGGTAGAGATGAACTGGTTTTTTGAATTTTGTTCCCTGCCCAGTGTGGCCTGGAAACTGAGGCACATGGTCACATGGTCACAGCCTGGCACTGGGAGCCATCTTCTTGCTTCCTTTCCCCAGGGAAGAAGGTGTCTCTACCTGGAAGCTTCCAGGGGGCAGCTGTGGAGCTCACAAGAGCCACAGGGCCCAGGCCTATACTCTGGACCTCATGTCTCCCCACCATCCAAGAGGGCAAGGTCAGGTTGGTCCCTGTTAGGTCTCTCCACCCTGGAAGTGGGTCCCCTGACTGCCAGAAAGGGGTGGGAGCTGCCACCATGGCCTGGGGAGACTTCCTGGGGGAGGAGTTCTAAGCTGGGTTGGCGTGATTCCAAAGCTAGCATTTCCTAAAGGAAGTTCATTAGCGCAGTGCAGAGAGAGGCCCCTTAACCACAGCTCTTTTTTTTTGCCCTGTAAGACAGAGGTTCTCAACCTGTGGGTCACGACCTTTTTGGCAAGCCTCTATCTGTAAAAACATTTTTTTTTTAAAGATTTATTTATTTATTATATATGAATACACTGTAGCTGTCTTCGGACACACCAGAAGAGGGCATCAGATCTCATTACAGATGGTTGTGAGCCACCATGTGGTTGCTGGGATTTGAACTCAGGACCTCTGGAAGTGCAGTCAGTGCTCTTAACCACTGAGCCATCTCTCCAGCCCCCCTGTAAAAACATTTACATTATGATTCATAGCAGCAGCAAAATTACAGTCATGAAGTAGCAATGAAAATACCTTTTTATGGTCGGGGGTCACCACGACGGCATGCAGAACTGATTTAAAGGGTTTCAGCATTAGAAGGGTTGAGGCCCACTGCTGTCGGATGCTGACTTGTTCATGTGTATAGGGGCTTTAAAGGGAAGAGGAGAGACGACTCAGCACTGCCCGTGATAAAGCCCTGTGGATGTGTTCCTAGCTTTCCGTGGCTAGCATCAAGGAATGCAGGTGAAAAGGTAAGAATGAACCTGGGGTCTAGAGAGATGGCTCAGTGCTTAAGAACACTTGTTGGCTCCTGCAGAGGACCTGCATTTGATTCTCAGCACCCACCTGGTGGTTCACAACCATCCATAACTCCAGTTCTGGAAGATCTGACCCCTGACCTCTGAAGGTACCACATGCCCATGGTGCACATGCGTATATATTCAGGCAAAACACACCCATAAAATAATATTAATTAATTGAGGTTAGGGATGGAGAGATGGCTCAGATGGTAAAGGGCACTGGCTGTTCTTCCAGAGGACCCAGGTTCAATTTCCAGCAGCCACCTGGCATCTCAAAAGTCCAGTTCCAGGAGATCAGGTGCCCTTTTCTGGCCTCCTCAGGCCAGGCATACATATGGTGATGCACATACCACAGGAAGGCCAAACACCCATACACGTCAAGTGAAAAATAAAATTAAAAAATAAATTAATAGATCGGGGGTAGGGGGGGAGAATATTAGCCTGGACCTTGGGAGTGAGGCAGGCCTGAATTTGAATCTGAGCCATTCCAGGCAGCTTTGGCTGTAGGCTAAGATAGCAGAGGTGTGTGCCAAGGCTAGCAGTAGCTTCTGGAGAGCTAACCTGTTACCCACACTGGAGGCTATGAGGAAGGCAGACCACTTTTTCTCCTGGTCATGTCCAGAGGCTGTAGAGCACTTCCTGTCTCTTCCTGTCAGCAAGCCTGGGGTGTAGGGCAGTGTCAGCACTTTCTGGGATGTCAGATGCCGGCTCCTCCTGCTTGCACCAGCATTCTCACCTCAGCCTGGTCTGCCATCACTGTATAGCTACTTCCTCTGGGTCCAGCTGGACTTGACCTAAGATATCAGCTCTACTGCTGCCTTGTACCCTTAAAGGCATTGTGAGGAGGTGTTGCCTGCTCTGTCCTCTCCAGGAGCCAGGCCACTGAAGTGGTGGACTTCATCCCTCTGGTACTTTTCGTTGGTGTAGTAACAGAGTCATGTAGATGTCCTCAGTCGGTGCCAGATGCTGGCTCAACACCTTGTCTGCATGCCTGCATGGACCTCTCTCAAAGCCTTGTGGTCAGACTGTTCTTCTTCTCCATTTCCAAAAGGGGAAACTGAGGCACGGAGCAGTCATGCAGCTGTATGTGATAGAGCCAGGAGTCACTTTTTCTATTAAGACTTTTAAACTGCACAGGCAATATGACAATAGAAAGAGAAGGTAAGATGGAGAATTGAGACTTAGCCAATAGGACCAGAGAAGATTTTGGGGGGCAGGTGGGGTTGGGGGGAGTGTGTTTTGGTTTAGTCTGTATCTACCATCCATGACATTGGCCTTGTGGAGTTTTCCCAGGAAGCAGTGCACACCATGGCATCTGCATGTATTTTCCCACAAAGATGTGTTGTACCAGCCCTGAGTAGAGACACCCTTTGAGGGATTTGCTGTCACCAACCATGGGACACGGAGTCTTGTATGGGTCCCGCACACATGCAAGAGTATGTACACAATCAATTATGGCAGTAGATTTGCTCCGTCTAAGGTGCCTGTGTGTACTGACAGACATCCTGCCAGGAGTGAGTGTGGGGCCCATCTCACAGACTTTATGAAGTAAGCTCATCTTTTTTTTTTTTTAATTTATTTTTTTATTTCCCATCCTTATGGAAAAATTAGGGCACCGAAAGCACGGAGGAATCAATCTTGTTTTCTAGAAAAGCTGGTCTTTGCGACCTGTCCCTTAAAGCTTCCTTTCTCTTGACTTTTGTTCAGTCCAAATGCAAGAGTTCCTCATCTTTGTTAATGATGCCGTTGTAACTGCTTGCTAGTAAGCTCCAAGCACGCAATGTCACTCTGATGCTGTCCTCTTAGTGTCGGGAACACTGAGAAGTCTCTGTAAGTCAGTTTCTAGGTGACTGGTCTTGGTTATTCAAACACAATTTTGCTTAATGGATTTGAGTGAGTGCTAGTTGGCTCTACCCCACTCAGTACTGCAGACCCAACCTCTGGCATGTCCGCTGTCCGAGCACTCTGATCCCTAGTGTCCTTGACTCCCCTAGGAGGCCTGATTTAATTACCACCCCAACCCCTCAAGGCTTCTGTCGCCCCATCCCCTGTGTGCCACAGATGGCATCCATACACCTCCAGGGTTCCTCCCATTCCATTTTACCATAGGCTGACATATCTCTAACACCGACACGTGGGGTTAGGACAAAGGACAGGACCTACTGAGCAAGGATCACTCGGACCAGCCTTACCTAGGCCTCTTAAGTCCTGGGCACCCCATCTGCTCTCAACTCCCAAAGTCTCGTGTAGAAGGCTGGTCTGAGCCTGTAGCTAGTGGTTTAAAGGGCCCTCGGTGAAGGGCAGGCGGCCCCAGTTACACACTAGCAATGTGCTATGGCACCACAGCTTAACCCCAGAAGTGTGCTCATTTTTGCCAATTAGTCAGGTAAAATAGTTTTTCGTGGTAGTTTTAACTTGCATTTCTGATACGTAGTATAGGTGATGTCATATTTTTTCCAAATGTGAAAAAGCTTTTAGAGTTGGCTTTTCTCTGTCCTTCCTGTTTGTAATCTCGCCTCGCTCTTAGTCCTTGTAATTTGAAGATGTTCCTCATATATGAAGGGGACTAGCTCCCAGTGATATGAGGTGCACATGTATTTCCCCCCATGTGTGGCTATTCTGTTGATTATCCTTTTAGTACAGTTTGTTTTTTTGGTTTTTTTTTTTTTTTGATCAAGTAGTAAATTTTGTTTATCTAAACGATTGAATCTGTCAGTCTTTATCTTTATGACTCTAGAGTTTTAATCAGGTTAAGAAGGCCTTAGCCAGCCTGGTGGTGGTGGTGCATGTCTTTAATCTCAGCACTTAGGAGACAGAGGCAGGTGGATCTCTGAATTTGAGGTCAGCCTGGTCTACAGAGTGAGTTCCAGGACACCCCGGGGTATACAAGAAACGCGCGCGTGTCTCTCTCTCTCTCTCTCTCTCTCTCTCTCTCTCTCTCTCTCTCTCTCTCTCTCTCTCTCTGTGTGTGTGTGTGTGTGTGTGTGAGTGTGTGTGTGTGTTGGACAGAGAAAACAAAACAGAAAGAAAGAAGGGCCTTGACTATGCCAGTGTAGACATGGGAGCATGTGGCCTCCTGCACTCCTTAGAACTCATCCTGTGTTGATTGAGACTCTGTCCAGCCCTCTGCCCTCATTAAAGGCTCACAGGCTCGTTTTAACTGCCCTCTAGATTGTTAGGAAACAGAGCTCCTCTCCTTCCTTCCATGCATCACAGGAACTCAGTGTCGGGGAGAGGCCTTGTGCAAAGCACTAGCCAGCAGGCGGCCTCCGGGCTGCTGTGTGGGCTGGACCCGTCAACCAATGAGGTTGCGGAGGCCAGTTAGACCTCCCCTTTCTGTTCTTCCTTATCAAGGGAAAGGGGATCAGAACTCTGTTCTGCGTGGGTGTGAAAGTTTCCATTCTAAAGGGTGGATGACAACGTTTAAAAGAAAGAATCGTGAATTATGGAAGGGTGGGGCCAGGGCCAGGAGGATGCTCAGTGGGTAGAGGGTACCTGTCACCAAGACTGATGAGTTAGGTTTAACCCTGGGATCTGTGTGGTGAAAGATGTTCCCCCAAGTTGTCCTCTGACCTAACAAAGTAAATAAACAAGTATTAAAAAAAAATAGGAAGAGGTGGGAACAAAGTTGATGCTCCTCGGGAAGTCTGGCTGGCCACGTGTCAGTTAGCACGTTGCCTGGCTCCGCCTGTGTGCAGAGTCCCAGCAGACAGGGTGTGGAGAGGCCTGCATCCCTGTCCCTTGGAGCTTGTCTTAGGCAGCTTCTGCTGCCTCTGGCCAGGTGCCTTGCATACAGGTGTTGTTACTGTTTTTGGAGTGTGTGCGAAGGGAATCAGTGAAGGAACAAATGAATGACCAGCAGGGTCATTCATTCCAGGGCGGGGCCACCAGCCCTCACAGATTGATGGACACGTCTGTTGTATGTGCATTTTAACAGAGAAGCTGAGCTGGCTCATTCCTATGATCCCAGTGCTTAGCATTTCTGAGCCTGAGGCAGAAGGATCTGGAGTTTGAAACAGTTTAAGCAACATAGTAAGATCTTGTTACCAACAATCAGCGGGCTGGTGGGATGGTTCAGTGGTTAAGGGCCCTCTGCTGCTCTTCCAGAGGACTGAAGTTTAGTTCCCGGCTCCTACATCTAGTGGCTCCCGGCCACCTGTAACTCCAGTTGCAAGAGACCCGATGCTTTCTTCTGACCTCCACAAGCATCCCAAACCATCCCTGACCCACACAGGCAAAAGAGCGACAAGGGCGTGGGAGAGCCTGAAGAGGCTGGCTCCTGTTTAGCAGTGGGAGAAGGGAGGCTTGCAGTGCCTAGGACCACTTTTTCCCAGCCTGCTCCTGGTTTGTCCTCCGCCTTCAGACTCTTCATCAAGTTAGGTGGCTTCTACCCGAGGCCCAGCAGAGCCCAGGAAAAGCTGAGACCTCACAAGTCTGACATACTGCTTTTTTTGAAAGAGGAGAAATTGAGGCTCAACTTAGGCCAGGGCCTTTCCCAGGGCCACACAGCAAATGGTGTGACTGGTATAACAGGCTGGACCATGGCTGTGGCCCTGGGGCCAGGTGAAGCCAGCCTAGAGGGAACAGGAAGCTAGTTGCCCTGGAGTCTCCAGTGATTGTTCTACCTGGGGCTTGGCAGGCTCTCCTCAGAAGATAGAGGTGGGTGAAAGGCACACTGGAGCCTGGCCCTACCTCACTTACCCTCACTGCTCGGTTTTGGTCCTGAAGGACTTCCTCCATCTAAGTTGGCTCTTAGCATTGGAGTCACACGCTCCTTTGTCCTTGCAAGCTTGGCCTAGCAGGCTTGCAACCTTGTTAGACTCCTTGTCCATCCAGAATTTGAGCAACATTGCCCCTCCAGCAAGTACAGAGCTCCTGAACCCCAACACTTGAGAGCTATGTAGAGCAGCAGGCCACAGGTCCCTCTCTCTACTGAGGGAAGGGCCCTGTGTTCTTGCCTTTAGCTTGATGACTGCTTTCTCCGCGTTGCTCACTCCCAGGCCCTGTATCCCCACCCTGAGCTATTCCAGGCTTACTCTTGCTATTATTTCAAAAGGCTTGCTGGGACCAGTCCTATGTAGGACTGACAGAAAAGCGTATCCTGTCTGGGTCCAGTGAAGAAGCTGGGGTCTGAGCAGCAGATGCTGAGCTGAAGGAAGCATGAAAGCCCTGGTCCCCAGGGCTCTAGGGCCCAACCCAAGCTGGGAAGGGAGGCACAAGGAGAGAGGCCTTAGGATGGGTCACTTGGTCCTGGGATTTCCTGGGTGCCATTGATGCTTCTAGTAGCATGTGCATGAAACTCGGGCTCTTCTGGAAGAGATGGCTTGGTGTGAGACATTCTTAGCAATGAAGAATCTTCTGGTGACGGTGATACTTCCCAGTGGCTCCTCTGAGGCCTGGGAACAGGGTCTGTTGTGGGTGTGGCAAGAGTAGATTGCTAGGCAGGCAGGGTGGAGCCGGGCCCTGGTGGGGCCTCTCTTCCTCACAGGCCTATGGAGGGGCCCTCATGCCTCAAGGCCCCCACTTCCCTTTTCTGAGGACACCAGGGCCCCAAGCCTTCTGCAGCTCCGTTCTTGCTGAGGAAGCTGGACCTGGGTTCCTGTCTAGGTAAGGAAGTGGGGACACAGATGGGTGTTTTAGAACTTGCTGCTACTGTCTTCTATTGGGGGAGTGAGTCTCCCAAGCAGCCTGACAGAACAGCTCTGTGTTAGTCTATGACATCCCAGCCTCCTGTGTCCTGTTGCTGTCTTACTCAGGAACATAGACACCACTAGTCAGGATTGGTGAGGAGGGCAGCGCCCTGCCTGGAGCACAGGAAAAGAATAAGTGTGTGCCTCAGAGGGCTTCCTGAACGAGGCTCCCCTCCTGGATCCTGTTGTTGGTAGGGCAGAGGGAAGCATCTGATGACCTCCACTTAACCCGTACCCCCATTTTTTTTGTTGTTTCTTTTCTTTCTTTTTTTCTTTTTTTTTTTTTTTTTTACCATTGTGTTGTCTTGGGCTTATGGGATAAGGGACAGGAAAGGGGTTGGCATTTTGAGGTGTTATGCATGGGTTTTCTGGTTGTTAGTTCTGTGAGGGAGAGAGGCAGGGTGAGGAATAGAGTGTGTATGGCCTGTGTTCAGATCATAGATTTCTGTCTCAGTAGCTTTGTGGCCATGGCAACGACTGAGCCTCTCTGTCATTCGCTTACCACATACAGGAACTAGGATGAGTAGGCCTACAGGTGAGTTTGCTGAGTTAAGGACAGGGCCTCGCACTGCGCCTGGGGCACTTTGTCTTTTGATTAGGCTGGTGGTCACCAAGCCCCAGAGAGCCACTAATCTGCGCCCTGCCCACAGTGTTGGGTTTTGAGGAGTGTGCAGGGCCATGCTTAGCTTTTTTACATTTAAACTCAGGTCCTTGTGCCTGCATGGTAAATTTTCTTACCCACTGGACCGTTTCCTCAGTCCAGCTTCGGGGACTTTGAGGGAGCCATGGCCAAGAGTTCTCAGTAGCCAGTGAATGCAGTGGCTGGGAGAAGGAGGGATTCTACCAAGGAGCCTTGAACCCTGTCCTGGTGTGGTGTGTCTGGGTCTAACCTTGGAACTGGCTCAGAGTAGAGCCCTGGCCAGGAAAAAACAGCTGCTGCTTCTGGGTTCCTGTTCTCAGCAGGCCAGAGGGAAACTTTGCTTCCAGCTATAGGCCTGTCCAGCTGTTCAGAAGCTGAATGAAAACCTTGGGTGGGCCGAATCCGTGTGCCTGGTGCATCCCACTGTCTGCATCCATCGTGGGCTACTGTTGCCCAGGAAGTGGCCTAATTAAATCCACAAATAAAAGTGTTTACCAGGCCTGATTCCCACGGGCCTGGGGGTGGGGTGGAGGCTCTTGTTGCAGCTCCTCAACCTGGCACTGTGCTTGGAGAGACCGGTCATGTCTGGGAGCAGATGAAGGCTATGCCTGTGCAGAGATTGGCCTGGCTTTGCTTAGAGGAGTGTCTCTGGAGACCTGTCTTGGTCATTGGTGTCTGGGGCTTTTCCCAGCCCACTGGTGTTTGGCTCAGCCATCCCAGCCCACTGGTGTTTGGCACTGAGCCAGAGGGTCAGGCAAGACTGCTGTTTGTGTGCTTGTGGCATTGGTTTAGTCCCCTAGAGTGGCAGTGGAGAAGCCTGGGCCCGGGAGCTGGGGTTTGAATCCCAGTCCTTCTGGCACGCACCTCCAGCTTGGTGATCTCAGGGAAGCTGCCGTGCCACTCTGGGCTCAGCTCAGCATTTGTTCGGAGATGGTGTGAATGTGTGGGCCATTTCTTGAAAGCTTCTTTAGGCTGCCCTGGCTGGGCATGACTCAGGGATGGGCCTCGACCTGTTCTGCAGTCCACAGCACAGTA